CCCCTGCCTCCCACATGGGCTTCATCAAGTGTCCCTAAAGAGACAGCAGACCCTGGAAGAGGACCTAAGAGCCTGCACATCAGCACCCCAAGCAAGCTTACAGGCTGCATGGCACCGGCCATTAGCTCAGCTAATCCATCAGTCTTATGACCCTCTGGGTGGGGAGAAACCCGAGGGTCGTATGGTCTGTGGTTCCTAAGGTTATTTCCCGTACTGTGAAGTAGATGGGAAGAGAGAATTAACATGCTCTGGGCCAGGCTCCCTCTGGGGTCACTTACTTTCTGTCTTTGCCATGGGCACTCTGGCCTTAGAGCAGATCCATCTTGTGAAGGTGCCAGAAGAGGAGCTTATTCCCAGGATCTGTCCTTTTTCATGTTAAGTTTTCATGGGGTCAGCATTGCTCTGACACTTCCAGAACCTTCTCTTCCCCTACACCCAAGTTCCACAAGATAAGCAAATTCAGGCTTTTGTTGGCCTGAATCTGACCTGCTGGCTGCCTGGTGCAAGGTCAGCCCCTTCACTGGGCTGGGTGAACTTACCTGCCAGGCAGGTGTGCCTTACTTCCCCTAGCTGTCCTTTCCTGAGACATTCTATAGGGCTTTCAGAAAGGATAGAAAGGGGTGGATGGGTGTGTACGTGTGTATGTATACTCACTGGAGAGAATCTGGCAGCTGGAGAAGGTGTGAGCAAATTCAAAGAATGCATCCTTGATTCCTTGAGCCAGTCTAACTGGCATATTGTGCTCCACCACCTAACCTACCTACCAGGAAGAATGTCTCAGCATTAGACTAGGGTACAAAGGGTTGGTGATGGCTGGCTGGGGGATGGAAGGAGAGAGGCCGGCAGGGGCAGCTCCAGGCTGATGAATAACAGATGTGCAGCTGGTGGGACCACACCAGGGAGGGGACTGGAGGCACAATCCTGTTTGTCGGCAGCATTTTCATTCAAAACATGTGCTGTTTGGGTGGCGCAGGTGCAGGGAGATGGCAAGGGTCTTGGAAGAGCCCAGGATGGGGAGGGAATCTGATGCCCCAGCTGGCAAGGTCTGCAGGTGTGACTGCATACCACAAAAGTGGGGAGAGGCAGCAGCCAGGGACATTTCTCTAAGGGGTGGGCTTTGTTTGCCTTGCTTTGGCAAACTCACTCATTTCCCCCCCAGAGATATTTAGAATAAGTCCCATCGATCCTCTGGTGTATTCTGTATTTACAGAACGATGTGCCAGCTACATAAACACGCGTCCTGGTCAGTCCCTCCCCGGCTACTTTTAACTTAAATCACTATTCATTCCTTGGCTCTTGAAGCTCGTCCTGCTTTTCACCACCACACCCAAAAGCTTACAGGCCCTCAGCAGGAGAAGCTCCAAGGGGTAAGGGGGCTCAGTAGTGAAGACAGATCCTGAGCCTCATCCCTCCCCCTCTACTGCCTGTTGCTTCTGCACCTTGGCGATCTGTCCTCTGGCTGGGAACTTGTAAACCTTGGTTTTCGCTGCTAGACTGCAACCTGTGGCAGCAGGAAACAGGATGTCTGTTTCTCGCTGCCATCCCCTGCTGCAGCCAGGTCGATGTTCCGCAGATGCCAACCCTGCCCACACGCTTGGTGGCTCAGCTGCTGGGGGAAATCGTTCCCAAGTGTGAACAAGAATAAAGAAAAACTGTGTCCAGCCCGGCCCCATTAGGGTACAGGGAAGGGCTGACCCTGCTGCCAATACCAAAGCTGCAAAGTTCATCTCCTGTTGTTGTTGTTGGAGAGCCAGGACCTGTGGCCACCTTCCTTGCTCCCTGTGATCCCTGGGCCAGCCTAAGTGCCTCCGGCGCACCCTTACTGCCAAACAGGAAAGTACAAAATAACACCCATGTGAGGGCAGGAGCAGAGCCAAACAGGTGGCCTCAGGGCTGGTCAGGAGGCCGTTACAGCTCTATCCTGTATCTTGGGGAGGACGTCACAGCTCTATCCTGTAGACCAGAATGCTTCAGAAATGTAGCAAAGAGAAGTTTGGTAAGGAAAACACGCCTGTGGCCTTTCCGCTGCACCACCCTGATTCTGTCTTGTGTGCAGGGACACACACATCTTCTTGTTGGGCTGGTCTCAGTCAGCCCCTCTCGGTTTATGCAATGGAACATGCCATGCACTTTTGATGGAGTAAGTATAACCTGCCACAAAACAGACACTACCCTCATTCTGGGCACGTCCTCTCTGTTGCCTGACATTTTGTAGGACTGGGATATTTCAAGCTTGCCTTGCTTCTCATCCTAGGGAGAGGAAGGTAGGCCAGGCCTTAACTTAGAATGTGTAGCAGACACTGGACCATGCTCTAGGATGGGCGAATAGCAGTGGGAGTTGTGGCTCTTCCTGGTGTGGTGGTTTTATCCTAGGAACAGTGAGAGCAAACTCCTGGACTTGGGAGGGGCCACGCACATGGAGCTCACTGCTTGGGTTTCACCCCTGCAACCACTTGACACAGTATTATTATCATTCTTACTTTGATGAAGCAGCTAAGACTCAGAGAAGTTTAGTGACTTCCCAAAGGTGACACAGCACCAGGGCTGGCTCTTCCATGCTAGGTCTTGTGGCGGTTCTAAGAAGAAAACATCTCCTGGAAGGTAGAGATTAGCATCTGGCCAAAGAGCTGGACAGATGCAGGAGGAAAGAGCATGGCCAAAGTCACTTGGTGATGGTGCGGCTCAAACTGTGGTGTGGCTTCCCGGCCATGCAAGTGTACTCTCACTACACGGTCCTCAGTGGAAAGGGGTCCAAGCTCAGGCTGTTTTTGGGTTAGGAAGGAGTTGGCTGACTATACGTGCAGAAGCCTCCCGAAGTATCCTGCTTCGTGGGGCACGTCTGTATAGGACACGTGAGGTCCAAATCAGGTCACAGTGCAACCCGCAAGGGGCAGATGTTGCTCTGTGAAGGAATCCTTCCCTGCTGGGGCCAAGAGTCCCTCCCTGGTTCATCTGCAATGTTCACAAAGCAGCAGGAGGAGAGGCCAAATCACCAGGCAGAAGCAATAGTCCAGCCCAGGCAGGTGGGCAGAGAGCTCAGCAGTTGATCTGTTAGAACCTGCCTCTGGAGTTTGGGGAGAGGAAACAGCGCCACTCCTCCCCTCCCCGACCCCCCAGGGGGCTGGGAAGAGCTCTGAGAGGATGGCTGGCTGGCTGGCTGGCTGCCCAGGAGGCTGCTGTGAAGCCAGACCCAGGGGTGACTGCAGGAGCAGGAGGGAGATTGGCTGGTGTCGTGCCTACCCCTTGTTGGTGCAGAAGACTTGCAAAGAGCCCCCTCACCGCCTCCTGAGCTTAGCTTCCAGCTTTGACTGTGGCCTCCATTTTCTGCCATTTGTGGCAAAGAAGGTCTGGAGCAGCAGTGAGTTCGGACCTCACGGTTCCTTGCAGGACAGGATTGCAAGTTCATTTGAGGAAGAACAGGCCAAAGGCCAAGGAGGGTGGGGCCTGGTGGCTCCGTAAAGATGTTTCTCTGTAAGAGCCGGGAGGCACAAAATTGGGAAATAGCATGGGGCATCCCAAGGGGGGAGAATGACGGAGTCTGCAGGACAGGCTTGGGTCTGAGTAGATTGAATATACTGGGTGTGAATGTTTTAACAAGCACTTATAGGATACTGCCTTTTATCTGGGCTCAGATAGGGAGAAGTGATTGGATCTTGGAGCAGACAGAATCCCACATGCAGGTCATTCTTTGTGCCTTCCAAGCAAAGTCACTGCATTTCCACCTCAGTGCTTCTGGCCCTGGGCTGGAGCCCCTTTTTGAATTGCTAGGTCTTGTTGTTAGGGCACTGAGCTGATGGAGGTGCCCTTCCATGTGCCAGTTTTCCAAACCCTAGAGATGCCTCTTCAACTTTACATAAAGTAGGAAGAGAAGACATAGCCTGGTAGAATGCCCTCATCTGTGCCCACATCCTCAGCTGTGTCCTGTGTGGGATGCATGCCCGCCTCTAATCTGCCCACACTGGGGCTTTTTCTTACCCACTGCTGACTTGCCCTTACAGAGAAAGTCCTCCCTTCCAGACCTCACAGTAAGACATGGCACAAGCTCTTTGGTCTAATCCCATTCCGACTCTCATGCAGACAGTTATGCCCTCTTGAGAGACGAGAGGACCAAGCTGCCACAGGACACACACGGCTTCACTTCTCTGTTTCCTTCCTTGTATCCTGTGGACACAAACTCTGTCCCTGGAAGGCAGCAGCAAGGAATACATAAGTGAAATGTAGTCCTACACATAGTAGGTGTGCAATAAACGGGAGCTGTTTGCAACAGTCCTTCTGTGGTCAGGTTGGACCAGAGGTAGAGCCGATGATATTAATGACATCTGTTTAGTCTTTCAGTTCAGAACAGTGGTATCCTCACAAGTCCTGTGTTATAGAAGAGGAATAGGTCAGTTGCTTGGCGGTGGTCACAGTAGCAAGGCTGGGATTGCAGCTGTTGGGTTCAGCCCACAAACCCGGTTGCCCATCACTTCTTTCACTGCATCCTCCGTGAGCTAGAGCAGATGCATCCCCTGTTATTTAAACACTGGGTGCTTGGGGCCAGATGAGTGCTGGGTGTGTGTGGTGGCAGGACTGAGGGCTGGGTCATATCCCATGCATATCATTGACATGTTACAGGCAGAGGAAGAGCCTTGGCAAGAATATAGGTTTGGGGGGCCATGGCCTTGGCACATGAACAAGAGTTTCTAACAGGGAAATGGCTTTGGGCTGTGGTAAGGCATAGAGTCAAGACTGTTGCTTCCCCTAGGATGGGGGTAAATGATGCCTCGCCAAGGCAGGTGATTGTGAACGAATGTGCAACTCAAAAACCAATGCTCTTGGCTCTGCATCTCCCTCCCACTTGGTGTCTCTATGAATCCTCAGTCTTACATTGTCATCTAGTCCAGTAGGTGCAGAGGTTAAAGTGCAATCCCTGACCACCAGCATGAAGCTAGGCATGCCCACCCCAAATGCTACCCCTGCTGTGTGCCCCTTTCACCATCTCTGCCTTCCTTTCTCTGCAGTGATCCGGGCCAAGGTGGTGGGGAAGAAGCTGGTGAAGGAAGGACCCTTTGGTACGCTGGTCTACACCGTCAAACAGATGAAGGTAAGTGGCCATCTTGGTCTAACTCCAGGAGGGCTTCTGGGTTTTGGCCAGGAAGAGGCAAAGTGGGTTGGAACTGGTGCAGGCATCTGTTTGGTGTCTGATGCCCCCACCCTTGGGGAGGGAGTGGTAGCTGTTACACACAGAGCCCGCGCAGGAACTGTGTCTTGGAGGTACCTGTCGGAAGGCTGAGTGGTGCAGCCAGCCAGCCAGGAGATGGTTTTGCAGGGTCTCTCCCCTGGGCTCTTCTGAGTTCATCCTGGGACTCAGCAATTCCCACAGGTCTCAGGCAGCCCCTGAGGATGTGACCCATCTGTGTCCTCTCAGCTCTTCCCGTGGAACCTGTGCTGGCCCTAGGAGCTGCCTTCCTCTTGCTTTCCTTCCCTCGCTCTGCTCACCTTCTCCCATCCCCATGAGTGAGTGATGCTCATGAGCCTCTTCCTAGGAGAATCATGATGTCCGTGAAAGAAGTGCACCTGCACCGACAACACTGTGTTCTCTGTTCTATCCTCAACTCCTCAACCACAGCCTGTTCCCCTTTCCCTGGGCCTCGATTTTGACCCCTGGAAAGAGGGAAGGATTGACTGCAGTGCCTTTAAAGTCCTTCTGGCCCAGACATTCTCATTGCCCTGGGCTGCTAAGAGGGAGCTTCTGGAGGCTCCTGGAAGGGTGCACTTGTTTTTGCTCCAACATGGAGAAGGGGGGGCCTCAAAACCTTGATGGACTCAGCACCTGATCCATCACCTTGCTGTTGTAAGCACCTCCTTATGCATGGAATTCTGGGCTGGGAGCTGAGGCACTCATTGGGAAGATAGGGAACATATCTTGGGGAACTGCATGCCTGTTAAGCACCAGCCCAAGGGGACTACAACCCTTTGATTTCTGCTCCTGTTTGCATCCCAAGCAAGCAATATGGGACTTGGCCTGCACAAAGGCCTCAGTGGGTACTTACTTAATGGGAAGTGGTAGGGAGAGAACACCTGGGCCTGGGAACTCCCTGGAGACAGTGACCCTGATGCCCTGGGAGAGTTGAGTGGGGGCAGCAGGCTGCTCCCAGGTGGGCCCTCCAGGCTGTGTGGTTCCTGTATCCCGAGGCCCGATGGGCTAGATGTGCTAATTCATGGAACCTGTTGCTTTGGATTCCCTTTTGGAAACATCCACAGCCTCCTGGTTATGTAATGTCCAGAGTCAGCCCTGGCCAATTGCCCTTGGCTGCCTAAGCTGGGTCATGAGACCAGCTTATGTCTTCAGACAGCCCTGGGGAGAGAATAGTGGGCGGAGGTGGGGAAGCCAGCAAGAGCAACAACAATCCTCTGGACTCCCCTGTGCAACCTCTGGCAGCTGGTGGGGCAGTGCCAAAGCCTGTTAGCATGAAATGCATTCACCAGCAGCCTCGGTAGGACGCTCTGGCTGTTATAGAACTGCGAGCCAAGTGGCTAGAGGCAGCTGCCATAGGTTCCACTACCTCCAGGGCCCAGAGATCAGGGTAGTGAGTGTATCCCATTCCCTGCTTATTGCTGGTAGCAGACCACCAGCTTCAGAGCACAACACTCATCTTAGGCTGGGAGACCCAGGCATCCCATTCCCCTAGGTGAGGGGTGTCAGGCTGTTGGGCGTGACACAAATTCTTCCTTTCACTCTGCCAAAGTCTCAGAGGGACGATGACTGATGCATAGTCATGTGGGAAGACAAATTGGAGGCTTCAGGAGTCCCTCTCCATCCTGGACTTCGGTCCCTCAGGCCCTTTAAGGATTCCTATCAGCATGGGTTCAGGATCCCTAGAACTGGTCAGTGCTGTTTTGCCCAGACTGGCTGCTGGGTTCCTCTGGCCTGTAGGTACCAACCTGCAAGTCTGAGAAGGTGCAGCTAGGAGCAAGAGTTGAAGCACCTTCTTCCATCCTGCCACCCCTGCTTCCTGCATCCCTCCCTTTGCCCCCAGTGCTTAGTACAGTGCTCCAAGCTGGGGATGCAAAGGTAATTGTTAACTTGTTAGAAACCTTTAATCCAGGCTAACATTGACCGAGAATTTCCTGGTGCCAGGCATTCTGTCAAGCCTTGGCATAGATCATGCCAGCTTGGTGAATGAGTTCCATGGAAGATCTATGGGAGAGATCCTGAAGCTTATAGGTGAAGTGGCTGAGATGTGCAAGGTTATAAGATAAATAGTCAAAACCATATGGCTTAAGGGTATGGCAAACAAAAAAACCAAGGTGATAGCCGAGGAGCAGACTGTCATTTTGGGGGTGCTCCCACCCCACTGTACTTTTGCCAGGGGACAGAAAGTGGGTGGTTTGCATGTTGCTGGTTTGCCATCTGATCATGTAACATCTGACGCACAACATCCTGGAAAGGGCATGCCAGAAACAGCTTTGTAGGAGGGAAGTGGGGAGGCCAGAGAAACTAGCTTGCAGGAGTTTTGGCACTGTTCCCTGGCTGGCTTTGTTCTCACAAGATCAAGAGTACCCCGGAGAGGCAGCCGGGGAAGCAAGGGCTCCCTGCGAGTAGGACCAGGGCCGCTTAGAGAATGTATGACCTGGTATGCCTGTCTGACCCCTGATAAAAGGCAGGCTGCTCCCTGCCCAGCACAGCTGCTAGCTCCAGGGCCTGGGATCTGCCTCTTGGGGCATACCTGACTAGCCAGCAACCTATGGAGTATGGGTGAGGGCACCTGGGCCATTCGAATGCCATGACAACTTACTGGAATGGAGTGGGGTCTCGGGTCCTGGGCTGTCGTGCATGTACAGAAGTTTTCAGAAGCAGCAGCTCTCACGTGCAGGGGCCTCATCTCCCACTGGGACCATGGAAAAGTGGTTGCTTGGCCAGGAGCTGTTGTTTGTACAGAGGGAGCCTGCTCTGGAGTGGGCTGCAGGGGACAGACAGCACACAGAGGACTTCATGCCCCAGCCGGTTCTGGGAGCGTTTCTGGGGACACCTATTGGTCATGTCCTTTGTATGGCTTGACTGTGGTCAGGCCAGGTCCACCAGGCCATCAGGGATGCTCTTCTTTGAGTGGCTTGTCTGACAAACCAGCAATAGTAGGGGGCAGTCTCTCTTATCTCCAGCCCATGCAGAGCTGCTCTCCGCATCCCATTTTTGGCTATCCTGGCTCCCAGGCTAGACTGGCCAGGCCATGTACTTGATGCCTCAGGCAGATTCCTAATGTTTGCAAACCTCTGCAGTGAGCCTGATGTGGTGGGCTTCTGTGAGTCCATGCTGTTCAGCAGCCTCCAGAGCCCTGCTGGTCCCAGCAGGTGTGCCGGAAACACCTGACATGGCCCACCTTGCTGTCCACACAGAGCCAAGGTCAGACACTTCATGAGAAATATGCAAATGTCCTCGGACTCCCAAACTGCTTTTTTATGTGACTCGCCCTCCCCCACCCCCAAGGGATGCTAACTTCTTGGCACCTTCGATACTTCTGAAGGACTCACAGGCCTGTGGGGTACAGCTGGGAAAGACTTGCTTAGGACCAGAACTCTGAACGAGCTTCAGCTACTTTGGCTGAGAGATGAAACTGGGAAAACACAACCCTAGGACATACAGGACCGGGTGCTTCCCTCTGTCCTTAGGAGTTGCAGGAGGATTGTTAGTTCAACTCACTTCTACTGAATGTTGTGTGCTCAGGCCCCTCCTATGTCACTTCATTCTCCCAGAACCACTTGATAAAACAAATACTGTATCCCACTTTTCAGGTGAAGAAATTGAAGTCTGAAGAGGTTAAGGAATGTATGCACCAGGGGGCTAACAGATGGCATAGGAATATTTAAATTCTGAAACCTGACTTTATAATGAATTGAAACAGGGGCTCAAGGTCATGCCCATAGAGCAGAGCAGGATGCTCCATGAGAAAGACTGGGGGAGGAAGGACTGAGTTTTCTTGCGGCTTGAGCTCCTGGCACTGGATTAGGTGACTTTGAACGTCGGCCCCCAGCATACTATCAACCTTCAATGCCATGACCCTTTCACACTGCTCCTAGACCTGGCAAACCAATGTCTCTATCTATGGCTGCAACTGCAGAGACACTTTGAGGATCAGTGTTGAGACAGAGAAAGGATTGCCACAAAGAAAAATCAATGAGCAAAATCTGCCTGACCATGTTATTTCCAGGTGTGACCCTGAGTTGGCAGGACCTGGTCATTAGTGATGTATCAAAATCCAGGCTCTCTGCTCAAGTGCTAGAAGCAGTGTGAAATACAAAAGGCAGCAGGGATGCCCAGCTGGTTCTGCCCCTTTGTATTATTAGAGTGGTTCAAGTCTCTGACCCTAAAGAGGGCTGCGTCTTACCCGGAAGACTAAGCATTGCTCAAGGGGGAAGATGAGTGTAGAATGAGCTGACCTGGCTCAGTGGAACCCTTACTTAGCCAGAACTTCAGCCACATCAAAAATGGGATGTTTCTTGGCCCAGAAGCATGTGTGAAGGTCATGCTTGTGGCGTGGTTCAAGCCCACAATGCCCTGTACCTCATCGAGCAAGTAGGCAGTGGGACTTGGCCTACCTGGATGGACAAGGGGGGCCCTTCCTGGTTCTTGGCTGTGCTTCCTCAGGGAGGTAGTGGGGCTGGGAAAGACACAGAGGAGTTTGAGTCCATGTGAACAGTGTGCCCCTCACCTCAGGCAGAGGCTCCCAGGCAGGACCAGTTGGTGGCTTTGTGAAGTGAAAGGTTTCCTTCATTGGGAAGACACAGAGAAAAAAAAAGCCTTCTGGGCTGAATGGGAGGCCTGCAGACGAGACACCCAGGAGGTGCTGTCTGCCTGTGTATTAATGACCACAAGCAAATTCATCACGCATGCCAGGGATGAAAGCAGAGAAACACTGTCCCATTGTCAGGTTTTGGGACAGGTCCAGAGACCACCCCGGCTCGCTCCTGCTGGCTCACACCCTTAACACCACTGCCCCAGCCTGCCTGACACTCCTGCACTCCCAGAGTGGAGTTAGTCTCTGTAGGGTTCCCTCCAGGCACTTGAGCACCTGCTGAGAAAGACAAGGAAGCAGCAGCATCTATGGAGATGGCATTGACTGCTTGAGAGACCCTGGGCCAGGAGTCACCCAGAGGAGGAGCCAACACAGGAGGGTGGCGAAAGCTCTGCCCTGATTGCCTGTGTGGCCTTGCACAAATCATTTGGCCTATCCATGCCTGGTGTTCTTCATGATGGTTCCTAATTATCATGAGGATGACATGGGCTAATGCTGGAGCGTGGTTTTCCCACTGGGGCACTCTTGGCCTCTGGGGCCCAGGTTTTACTTTGCTCTGGGGGCTGCCCTGTGCATTGTAAGATCTTAGCAACTCCTCTACCCCCTCTATCCAATGGCAGGTAGAACAGCCTGTAAATGTCTTCAGATGTTGCTGAATGTTCCAGAACATTACCTTCAGTTGACAGTCACTGCATTAGATAGCTGACACTTGACCCTGTTTAGCCATAACAATTTCAGCTGGTTCAGTGTGACAGCTTAAAGCAGCTTCTTGAAAAACTGGGATTTCCATATGCATGCCCCGTATACACCATCTGAGTTTCAAAGACCCTCAGAAGAAAAACATGGAGGAAACCCCTTGCACAAGCTCCACTTTAGCTGGTTGAATTCTGCCTTTATACTGAGTCCTCTGTAAAATGGGATGATAAGGAAAATCTAAAGGAAAAGCTTTCATGCACTGGGCATAGGTGTGGCATGAGTGTCAGCTAGCTGTGCTTTAAGAACTCGGGCCCAGACTGACAAGGGGCCATCTGCACGTCACTTTGCTTGGATGTGGAATCAAGGAATGTGTAGCTGGAGCAGTGGCACCGGGCAAGTGGAAGGGAGCCACCTAGGAAGGTTCTGCTGGAAGGCTCCAACCGGGCCCCTATCAGGGAGGGGGTGCAGATGGGCAGCCGTCCAGTTGGAGGATGACAAGGGCAACCAGAGGCCTTGAAGCCAAGTGCTGTAGCCTAGACCCTCCCCTTCATGAAGCTCCTTCTGTCCACAGATGTACCGAGGCTTTAGCAAGATGCCCCAAGTGCAGTACATCTACACAGAAGCTTCTGAAAGTCTCTGCGGCCTGAAGTTAGAGGTCAACAAGTACCAGTACCTACTGACAGGTAAGAGCCAGCCAGCTCCAGCACTGAGGCTTGGGCTTGGCCAAGGTCCCCAGGGTCCTGCAGACACCAGTCATTGCATAGTCAACTGGGAGGAACTAGCCAGTGATGGGCCCCTCTTGCCTGCCCAGAGCTAAGTGTGGGAGGCTGGGCTGGGGACCATTGCCACATAACTTGACCTCTTTGACCTTCACTATCATGATCAGGAAAAGGGGCTGCAGTCCACCTTACATATGACGCTAAGGATGATGAAATAAACTCCTGGGAGCTGCAAAGTCCCTAGCACAAGTCCCTAGGGAATTCTTTCCCTCTGGCTGGACCCTTGGATGAAACACCTTCCCCCTGTCCTCTTCCTCCTTGCCACAGGCCGCGTTTATGATGGCAAGATGTATACAGGGCTGTGCAACTTTGTGGAGAGGTGGGACCAGCTCACTCTCTCCCAGCGCAAGGGGCTGAACTATCGCTACCACCTGGGCTGCAACTGCAAGGTAAGTCTGGTGGGAGTGGAGGTGGGGCGGGAAGAGGGGAGGATCTATTGAGCTAGGTGCTATGCTGGGAAGGTCTTGTGTGATGGCCAGGGCAAAGAGCCAGGTCCAAGCAGGTATGGCTGGATGGTGAAGAAAGTTGAGGGAAAGAATGCCTCGTACTGTTGTTTCTAGATGCCAGGCACGAGGGTCTTAAACCTCTTCTGGTGACTGGGGGCTACAGCAGGGACAGGACTCTTAGGCTGCAGGTCCTGTCACACAGTCCCCAGTCGGGCTGTCCCTTGGGCTCCCCTCACTAACAGGGAAGCTGGCCCAGCACTGCCAAGGCCAGATGCTGTTCAGGCTGCTCTTCAGCCAGTCCCAACCCCTTGTGCCTGAGCAGCAGTGCAGAGCATTGCTGCGGTGGGAGGTTGCTGAGCTTCAAGGCGGGTCTGCCTGGGTTTCCTTGCAGAGGGATCCCTATATTTCCCAGATGAAGAAAAAGACCAGCTAGAACATGCCCTGGGTCACACACTCACTGAGGCTGCTTTCCGACCCAGGGCAACTGGGCCCCCAGAATGTATGCGGAGACCCTTTCCCTGACCTCTCCCTGTTTCCAGTTGAGAGGGAAAGACTCTCCCATGTTGAATTCCACTGCTCATGGGCTGCACCCTCTTACTCCTTCTGCAAGAAGGGAGAGATAAAACTGATGAGTTCAAGGGGAATAACCTAGAGGCAGGATGCTGGGTACACAGCAGGTACTCAGTAAGCAGAAGCTGGTGTGATGGATATTTCCATCCTTGCAAAGGGGCTGATGTGCCCGGAGGCCACAGTGGCAACATCCCTTAGTGTCTGGCTGTGATCTAATTGCAGATCAAGTCCTGCTACTACCTGCCCTGCTTCGTGACCTCCAAGAACGAATGCCTCTGGACCGACATGCTCTCCAACTTCGGCTACCCCGGCTATCAGTCCAAACACTACACCTGCATCCGGCAGAAGGGTGGATACTGCAGCTGGTACCGAGGCTGGGCCCCCCCAGACAAAAGTATCATCAACGCCACCGACCCCTGAGCACCAGGCCCCGCCCCACCTCACATCCCTCCCTTCCCGCTGAGCTGCCCTCAGACACTAACTCTTCCCGGATGATGACAACGAAATTAGTGCCTGCTTTCTTGCAAATTTAGCACTTGGAACACTTAAAAGACAAATCTATACTGTCGTATGGGATCGATTTTGGAACTCGTCTCCTGGCTCTACCCTATCTCTTCTTTTAGGTTTCGACCTCACCCACATCCACCTGGGAATTCCTGGTACCATGCCAGCGTATGCCTCTTCTTCTTGATAATATAATCTATATTTTTTTAGGAAAACAAAAATCGAAAAACTATCCCATTTGGGCATTGTAATCCCTACTGCTCTTCCTTCTTTCCCCACCTCACCATCTCCTGCTGTCTCCTTTTTCTCCCTGCCCCATGCCCTTCCCCTCTACCCCTGCAGAAAAAGGACACAAAGAAGTTTCTGGAAGGAAGGCACCTGTTTTAGGGTCAGATAGGGTTGAAGTGTGTGGAAGACTTCACACACCAATGACATGCTCCGACATGTTCCAACCTGTGTCTGTCTGCACCTAAGAGCTCATGAGTGAATGAGCAAGGGAGGGCAGGAAGAGACTTTGAGAAAGGGAGAGAGGATGCAGACACACAGACATATACAGAACTGCCCCCTGCCTGGCAATGCTTGGGTTGACCAGATGTTTGAGTCTGAAGCAAGAAGTCAGGCCTGAATGATAGCACTTTTCCAATTGAAGACTTAAACATCTGCCTGAGGTCAGGAGGTAGTGCTCCGGCCTCTTAAAAGGGCTCGAGTGGAAAGCCGGAGAGAAATGGTTTTGCTCTCCCCACCTCCCACGAGAGTTCCTCCTGGAAATCTCTTGGGTGACCATGGCTGGGCATGTGCCTTCATGTGAATTGGAGAAAAACCACACACTAGCCACAGTTATAGCCCAGTAGTTTTGGGTAGAGAATACTATTTCCAAAGTAGTATTTAGTTCACCTAGGGGATGTGTTCATATACACATCTTGGCATATATACCCATAGGGGAAATAAGCTAATTTTTTTACAGGACACAGAATTCTGTTCAAAGCTGTTGAACGCACCAATAGTTTGATCTCATTGTTGCCTGTGGGAAGGAAATTACATTCCGAGTTGACTTAAAAAAAATGATCACCCATTTTGCCCCCATTCCTGGGGTCCTCTGACCTCTGCTTTTCTTCTGCTTCATATTTGGGGCTTTCCTTTCTGAGAGTGTGGGCTGGAGGCCTGGGTACAGGAGCGAGAGCTGCAGAGTGGCTCGATGGCCACCCGCTGCCCTGCCCCAGCCCACTGAGGGGAAGATGCCACCTCCCGAGGTCTGACCTTAGGAACTTAGACTTGGGGGAGTCACCTGGGAAGGCTGACTCTTGCAAGCAGCTGTAGAGGGCTTTTGTTGTGTTCTTTGAAATAAAACTATAATATAAATTCAACTATGAAACAAGATTATTTTAAGTTTTAGTGTTGAAAGTAAGATGCCAAGCTTAGGTGATAATGTGTATTTTGCAGAGGTGGGGATGGTAGGATGGGGGACATTTAACATGATTGCCCTCTGTTTCTCTCTTCAGATTGCGATTATTTATCCTCTCTTAGCATTTGTATCTTCAGTTCATTCCACTTTAGGAAACAGCTGCCAATGGAAACAGGAGCAAATAAAAGTAGACAACAGGTTGTAGTGTTTTGTGTGCGCGCACACACACACACAGACAGACAGACAGACACACACACACACACATGCCCAGACAGGGTGCTTGGCTAAAACACATACTGGGAAGACTGGTGCAGGTGTTGGATTTCCTTGAGATTGATTTTTTTTTTCACCCTGTACACTTCCCCTTGTGTGGATGCCAGTTAGCAGGGTAGAAATGGGACGCCCAACCCTCGCCGGGGGGGGGGGCGGGGACCAGTGTCAATTGGTCACTAGACTGGTTTTTTTTTTAAGGGCAAATCCCTAGACTTTGTGCTTCCACCCTAAAGTCTGACCCAACCCACACAAGTGGACACCAGCATCTCCCACGTGAGGCACTTGGTTGGGCTCAGTCCTATAGTCCCCTACTGTGATCACCCCACTGTCAAGGGACCTGGGTTAAGGCCTAAGCAGGGGGCGCCTGAAGCTCTCAAATGGAGGACCCACAGCCCCATCTGCTAGGCTCCCTGGTCAGGGAGAACCTGGGCAAAGAAAGGTCTTTTGCAAAGCGATTGTGTCAGAGGGCGGTTTTTGAGCTTTCTATAAGCTATAGCTTTGTTTATTTCACCTGTTCACTTACTGTATAATTTAAAGTCATTTATGTAGCTGAGAAGACACTTCTGTATTTCAATCATATTGTGAATGTGTTATTTTGCTAAATCTTGTGTCATGTGTAGGCTGTAATATGTGTACATTGTGTTTAAGAGAAAAAACAAAAAACAATGAAACCCACATGCCACCATTTTCCTGAATCAAATTCTACAGTGGACTGGAGAGTAGAACACTTCTACTGGGCAGGCAGCTAGACTGGCAAACCGATGGGATGAGAAGGAAGCAGTGACAGATTCTTGCAGTCCCTGCTTATCAAAATGACTCTTGGAAGGAGACAGAAAAAAATGCAGCAAATACCTTCGTGTGCTTGCTTCAGGTCAAGTGGCCCTGGAGAGCTTGCTTCACTCCCAACCCCCTAGTTCCCTTTCCCCAGCAAAGTGGAAAGTCATGATTTCCCCCCAAAACTCCAGGGCCCACTTCTCTTAAACAAGTTCTTGCTCCTTCTTCTGGACATCTATTTTGCCTACCAGCCAATCAAGGTCATCCCAGGTCCAAGTTCTTGCCTCTAAGTGAGCACTGCCATCTGGACATGAAAGGTAACAGCACTAGGGACTTCTGTCCTTCATGCTTGCCCAATTCCAGACCTGCCATGTGCAGCCACAAGCATCCTTGTTTATGCCACAGACCTTGGAGAATTAACTGGTTTGCAACAGCTGTCTAGGAGCTCATTTGACCCCCTATGAGACAATACCCTTTCCTATCCCATCCCTTCCTCTTTGTCTTGTGTAAGACAATTGACAATGTGGATGACCCCAAGATGGTACCCATACTCCTGGATAGCTAAATATCTGACCGGAGTTTTGTTTTGTTTTGTTTTTTTTAGAAACATCAAACAATCTAAAGGCAAAAGCCAAAACAAAATAGGGAGGTACTGAGGCAGTAGATATTAACAACTTCCACATTGGCTCTTTAGAGATAAGAGGAAAAGAACTTAGGAAATGGTTCCTGCTTTGGGGTAAGGTCATCCTTGATTGTTCTAATCTCCCACCATTCTTTTTGGCCAGTCTACTGTCCTGAAACCCAGAAGTGATGGAGAGAAACCAACCAGAGAAAACCCTGTCTGGAAGGAATGTATTTGTTGCTAAATTTTGTAGCGCTGTTTACAGTTTTCCTCCATGTTATTTATGAATTTTATATTCCGTGAATGTATATTGTCTTATAATGTTGCATAATGTTCACTTTTTATAGTGTGTCCTTTATTCTAAACAGTAAATTGGTTTTATTTCTATCACACACCTGCTGTCTCATGATTTCTTGTGTCCTGTCACTGGGGGGTTATTATATATTAGAAACACCGGGGAGTCCTGAAAGCCTGTTGTGCCTGTCCCAACTCCAGGCCTGTATTGAACCATTTCTATAGCTCCTGGTCCTTACCATGGGCAGGAGGGTTTTAGATTCCCCTCCAGTTACTAGTCCAGCCTTAACTTCACCCCTGACTGCTGCCTGGGTCTTCCCTGGTTCCGCTGGATCTGGATCAACGTCTGTGGGTAGCTCAAGTATGCCCAGGTTGAGGCCTTAATGTAGCTATGCTTGTTCCATTCCCAATCTGGTGCAGGTACAAGGAGAGGAAGAACCTGTAAATAGCCATTCCCCCCTGTCAATTGCCTGCTTGAAATTCCAACTGCCTGGCCTGGTTGAGAATTCCAGGAACTCATGAAACCCCATGACAGCTGGAAAGCCCCTCCCAGGGCTTATAGCTGGACTTAAGACCTGTAACAGATGGAGCTGGCTGCAGACCCCTCACCCAACTTTCATGCCACCCTCCACAAGGTTCCGCATTATAACTTTCACCTCTATTGAACAGCTTCTCCACTCTACCATATGTCCGGGACAGTGCCTTGCACACATGAGCGTCGGTAATCTCAACAACCACACGAGTTTGTTCCACTATCATTTCCAGTTAAGGAAGCCAAGACTCAGAGATGAAGTCATTGCTCCAGACACAGTCAATGGATACAATGCTGAATTTTCCCCTGCTACATTCACACTTTGTTGAATATGCCAAGTCACATATGAATCCTTAGCCCAGCTGCCAATACACCCTGGATTCTGTGACTCTCATTGGATCAGATACACAGGAAAACCTCTGCCTGCTTACACTGCTTCCTACCTGGAATTTGCCATCCAACAAGCAGGGCGGTCCAGTTTAGCAGAATGAACTCAGGAGTCTACAAACAGATCACAGTCCCTGGCCAGGAAGATGGGATACCCTGGGGACTTATCCCATGCCCAAAGGATCATATTTCCCAATCATATATCATGCCAATCATAGGGTCATGACCCTGCATTCCAATGTTCAGTTTAAGGAGACCACCAACCACACAAGCAGGCATATCATGGGCTTTTCCCAGCTGTCCAGAACTCTTCCACCCAGTTTTTTTCCAGCTATGGATGGAAAACTCTCCATCTCATTCCAATGGATATTAGTCTCTCCCAGGAAAGTGCCCTCCAAACAAGACACTGCACACAGTGTACTCTGAGCTAAGTCCCAACCACTTCCCAGAGACAATTTCCAGGTATATTCACGAGTTGGACAACCAGGATCACAATCAATCTTCTACAATCAACAATCAGTGCAAACACCAATACAATAATCAACAATCTATGCAAATACAAAAACATCATTACTTTTCATTCTTTCTTTTAAAACCAGAGTTGGAACCATGTCCCACACAGGACTCAAGTGAAACAATACCCCACCTCAAACAAATTTTTCACCTCTGTCATTGACCTTCGGCTCCGCCATGCTACTTAAAGTTGTTCCCTGATTTGCTGAAAACTGCCAGGATCCCAAGAATTGTGAGGTCTGACTCTTGTCATTCTTTCTGCCTGAATTTCCCCTGGAGAGATGACTCTTCCTTGAGGAAAGTCAGGTATTGCCACAGGACTTATGGCTCTTTCTTAGGAGCCCAGGTGGTCAGGGAGTGGCCCCTCAGCCCATCCCCCCCTGTCCAAAGGGGAGATGGGCATCACTGTCTGCACTGGTTTACATCATGATAATAGAGTGAAAACTGGCACTCACCATTGGCTTATGATTGGGAAAAAACGTTTGCTCCACCAGCGGGAATTTCTCAGGGCCCAGGGAGTGAAAGATCTTAATGAGCTGAGAGAACTAGGACAGAAATGGGGAGAACATGAATTAGTCAATCACTGCTACCTGCTACTTGATCCCAACTTGGACCCACCATTTCTGAGCTGGGCTTGTATCACGGTTCCTGCCTACAGGACAGAGGCCAGATTCCTTGGCTGGACATCCACCTTCTCCCTCATTCAGCTACAGCTACCCCTCCATTCCTGGTCAAGATCTAGTGAGGAGGCAGAACACAGGGCTCTGCTGACCAGGATCAAATGAACACTAACTCTGGGCTTGGCACAACTGGCTGACAGTCCAGCTGTTCCTCTGCTTCTGCCTGCCTTTTTAGCGAGGCAACACTGCCAAGGAAGGTGCAGACTCCAACTCCAGCCTTCCTGGACTTTCCTGCCCCTACCCAACTGCACACTGTGGGAAGTTGTTCATTTGTAAATCGGAGAGCATGAGAGAGACCTTCTTGGAGGGCTGGCTGTTGGAAGGCACGTGGTGGGGGCAGAGCCCAGTCCACAGGAGCACTTACACATGAGGCAGTATTACCATTTATGAACCCATCTTTCCTTTTACAGCTCCTCATTTCCAACACTTGAAAGTCCCATCCCTTCCCATTGTGCTCCTCCTGCTTCCATGCTTTCTTGTTTGCTCACTGGTCAGCTCTCATCTCCAGAGCTACAGGATGAATTCCATCACCCCACAGCACCCTGTGGGGCCCACTTGGTGCCTGGCATTGCATTTGCATATTGTTCTGCTTTGTGTTAGGACGAGAAAATATCCAAGAGAAGCTAACTTCAACATGGGAAAGGTTTACTCTGGTTCATGGCTTGGAAAGACTGAAATCGGACCATCCCATCGGTGTTGTGGCATCTGGTGACAGAACAGTGGATGTCAATGATGGGACACTTGCACAAAGAGGATCACATGATGAGCTCAGAAGCAGGGTGTGGCTGGCCTCCACTTGGCTTTCATAATCAACTCTCTTGTCAGAACTGCCTTCCAAGTGAACAGCCCAATGACTTAAGGACCTCCCTTGAGACCCATATCTAAACCCCATGATGGAATTAATTTTCCACTGTCTTAGTGTCATCATCTTATGACTTTGGAGTTTAAGTGTCTATATGGTATCAGGAGCCCAGTCTTATTTAAATCATAATAGCTTGATCATGAATGTGCCAGGCCAGCTTGAGAGAAGATGGGCTGCAGTACAGTGTCCAGATACCAATGTTTTGCTTGGGGTAGGATGGCACGTGGAGTCTGGGGACCTGGAAAGGTGATGAAGTAGTGAGTCAGAAAGACTTTCTGGAACAGAAGATTTAAGAAGGAGGAAGGGCACCAGATGTTCAGGGAGATAATTGAGTGAAGGAGAGCCTCAGCGGTTGCCATGGTTGTGGCCCCAAGGGCAGAGGACAGTGCCAGAGGAGGACAGTGCCAAGGGCCTGGCAGCCCTAATCAGGGGGACTAGAATTCACCCAGAAGAAGGAAAGGAATACAAGCAGTAGAGAGTAAGTTAGGTTCTGATCCAGAGGGGGAAAAAATAAGCTGCAATTTGTGGTTGACCTTGGATGCCTGTGGTCGGAAGGAGGGGCAGGTCACATATCTGATGGGGGGGCGACTCCCAGTCGAGATCATAGAGAGAATGCCAACTTGGGAATTTTCAGCATCAGCCTATGCTGGGTGTGCAAAGTTCTGAAAGTGAACCTACAGGTATAGTTTCACCTGGGGTTAATCTGGAGGGTTTGTGAGACATTAAGAAAGTTGGGAAATGATCTGTTGGCTGAGTTCCTCACAGCACACACAAGGAAACAGGTCCAGAGAGGTACAGTGATGCCACAAACAGCATATGAGATTTGGAGAGACCCAGCTCCACCAATACTGGTAGCCATGAAGGTCTAGCTGAGAATTCAAAAAGTTCATGGAACATAGCACTAAAACGTAAATATATTTTAATGGAAAGCAACTGTTGAAATCCACACACATGAAGAGTCGCCAAAAAGTTCAAGGGAATGTGCATGATGAAAAAAAAAAACTATGCTTGGATTTCAACTTTTTTTCCGCCAGAATAAATTCATTTTTTAAATTCCAATTTTTCCTAGAAACTTTTTGAAGGACTCTCACACAGATCAGCAACAGCTGCTCATCAGGGTGTCGGAGAAGCTTGCCAATGTGTATATCCAGTCCTGTATAGACAGTACATAGTGAGGGTCCCAGCTACCATCACTACAGCTATATGTAAAAGCAAGGCGGGCAGGGCAGTACTGTTTAGGACATTTTTCTAAGGGCAGGACTTGAAATCTTCAATGTCACAGATCAAAATGCTCTGTAGGGTAGCACAAGAAGAAGATCGGGGCCTTGGCAGTAGTGGTAAGCATTACCCATATCTATTGGACGGATGCAAGCAATCTTGCAAAAACTCCTGCAGGCCAATTCTGCATAGACTTGTTTCAGGTACCAGGGACCTTAAGAACTGTCACTGCTAACTGACTGGATTTTGCACTGCAGCACTTTACCCATAATAACTCCTCACCCTGCCACATCGCTTTCCCAATAAGAAAGCTCCATTCACAGAGGCCAAGGGGATTGCCCAAGCCATGTACTGTTCATAGTAAGTGCTCAATAAATGCTACTTGTTGCTAACAACAATGATGACAGAATGATAGAACAATGGTAGCGTGTTAGTGAAAACGATAAGGGACCTCATATGACTATTTTATGTTATATCGTATTACCATAATGTACTATTGCCTACTGTCGTTATATAACATTAAATATTTTGTATGATCATAACAATACTGGCTCATTTGTTGGACAATTCCCCAAGAAATATCTAGGAACCAAGTTATTTTTACTATTGTTTACATAAGATTCATTTGAGGACTATCTCCCCTTTGCCTGTCACTTACCACCCAGGGCTTGCTGCAGAAGTTGTAGACGGAGTAGAGGGAGTTGACGGCAGGCAGCCCTCCATACTGCAGGCCGATGACCAGGCTGCGATAATCTTCACCTAGAGCCATGCTGTAGGCATGCTGGCGGACCAGGATGAAGTCTGGCTTGAAGGATCTGCCAAGAGAGGGGTTGAGAGCAGTGTCACAATATGGTTTTGTCAATGGACCGGTAGGGTAGCCACCATGTACTTGTGCAGCATTGGACAGGCATGCCTGCGAGGAGCTCTCAGCAAAGAGCTCTCTGCTAGAGACTGGGAGCAGTGTGAAGGAGGAGGGTCAGAGGCAAACATAGCCGCCAACCACAAAGTGTGGACCCAAAACATATACTTCCCTATGCTTGCTTTTCAGCCTGTTTTCTAAATTCTTGACAAGGAACATCTAATTCATTTGCAATCCTGAAAAAAAAATGCATGGAGCAACTCCATGGATTGACTGAGATGCATCATCCTAATAGATGTGTGAGAACGACCATGCAGGTACGGCTTTGGGTATTGTCACCATGAACTCCCATTATACAGATGGGCACCCAAGGCTCAGATTGATTCCTTGGCACAGAGGAAGGGCAGTGACAGCTCCACAGGGTCTCACAGAGCTGCCTTTTCATCACCAAAGAGCCTAGCGTCTTTCCCTAAGGTGTTAAACAATGCATTTTGCCTGTCTTTCAAGTGGCCACCTCTGGGAAGTGGTCAGAATGTCATTGTGATGGTTGCGTGGCTGAGCCTCTCTGAACACATGAGCCTGTTGAAGGTATGCTAAGACTCTTAAGGGACAGCAGGAGTATGGTTACCTCCTGGGTAATGATGTTTTCGTCACTTGGGGGCTTAACACATTGCCCTCCTCTTGGTGATGATGTTGGTGTAAACAAACCCTCAATTGCACAGTTATTAAAAAAATATTTTTTTGTAAAGTTGCTTAGTTTTTCCCTGAAAGTCAGTTACAGAGCAGGAGAAGGAGGGAGACAGAGCGGGAGAGGGAGGGAGGGAGGGATGGAGAGAGAGAGAGAGGGAGAGAGAGAGGGAGAGAATGAATTTTCCATTCACTGGTCCATTCCCCAAATTGCTGCAATGGGGAGTGAGTAGGCTCAAAGTCCTCTGCTACTTTCCCAGGCCATTAGCAGGAAGCTGGATTGGAAGCTGGAGCAGTTGGGGCTAGAAATGGGAGGACTAGACCGCTATGCCACTGTGTCAGCTCTGTGCAGCTAGTCTTACAAGGCACAGCACATACAATTACACATAGCACATAAACAAGGACTGTATTTTTTTTTATGATTAGCTTGAAGAACCATCCTTCTATTTATAAAAGGTTTAGTATGAGACAGTGTGCTGTGCTATGCTATGCTATAGCTGGTGTTTGACACCTCTGAATCACGTTGAGAGGGCCTGTTGAGGGCTGGTGTTGTGCAGTGGGTTAAGCCATGGCCTGTGACACAGGGATGCCATATGAGTGCTGGCTACAGTCCCAGGTACTCCACTTCTAATCCAACTCATCCCTGCTAATGTGCCTGGGAAAACAGCAGAGGATGGCCTAAGTAGTACTCAGGCCCCCATGTGGGAGAACAGGATGGAGTTCCCAGCGCCTGGTCTTTGCCTGGCCCAGCCCTGACTGTGATGGCCACTTGGGAGTGAACCAGTGGCTGGAATATCTCTGTTTCTGCCCCTGTCCCTCCCCCTTTCATTCTTGTTAATTAATTCAATAACATTTTAGAGGAATTCATGTGCAGTGATTGATCTAGATCCCCTAGGTTTGTAGACATCAACTCTCACATTTATACAAGATGAAATCTGCTAAGTTGCATTGCTCTTTAATATACTGCATTATTGATGCATGACTATATCTCCCCATTGCATACCAAAGAATACAGAATCTCTGAGGAGTTATCATGTTCCCTAAATCACAAAGCTGGGGAGCAAGACAGCCACCCTGGAAATTAGGTCTTCCAGCTCCAAGTCCATGTGCCTGTCGCTCCACCACGTGGCTGCAGGCCCATTCACACTGCTGCTGTTCAAACTATTTCTGGGCTCCCATCTTCAAAGCCACATGGAAAAATCCACCCCATTATAGGCCTGAGGTTTTCACTCAAATGGGCATAACTAATTGATTTCACTCATCTAGGGTCAGACACTGCATATCTTCAGCGTGATTCAAAGGCAAATAAATTAACTCTCAAAGGCAAGGGATTTATCTCAACTGATGACAGAGGAAAATGTGCTGCAGGCACAGAGACTAGTCCAGCCACTCTGAACCTGAGCCTCGTCGGGCACCCGGTGCCTGATACCACAACGGCAAGGGAGGAAAAATGGGTAGAAGGAATGGCTGATGGATGAGGACACCATCTCTCTTCTCACTGTTACAGGAAATGGCTTGTGTTTTCCTGAGTAAGCTGCAATGTGTCGCAAGGGGGTAACTTGGACTGTGGCATCCTCTTCACACAGATGGTTGAAGGTGAATTTGGACAGACAAATGATCATGTGCTTAGGGCTAGGTAAGAATCTTGGGATTTGAGTGAGTGGGATGGAAGAAGGAAGGGTTTGAGGGCCTAGGTGTGTTTCTAATGGACCTGGGGAGCAACCATGTCAATGTAACCATTTGCATGTTTGCATTGTTTTGTAAGTAGTGCATGCTTATGACACAGAGACAAAATAACAACAGTGCTTGGAACATACAAAGAAGTAAACAGAAAACTTCATAATGTTTGAATGCAGAGAAATGTATATTTTGCCCCCCTGAACTGTTTTGATGGATTTGATCCTTGACATCACGCTATTATGATTTTGTCCTCTTCTACGTTCTATTATAGTGCAAGCATTTCCCTTCATTCCCTTGAATGTCTTAGATGAAATAGCCCAAGGTTTAAACAAAAGATTACTGATTACATGCACGCACCCACAGAGGCAACGGGGTGGACATTGGCTAAAGGGGAGATACCCCTTTTCTTGTGGACTTACTGAGGAGAACTAGGCCTCTTGGCCACAGCATCAGGGAGATAACATGTGGCCTTCATAACTCCAGGGCTGCTTTACAAGGTAACTGACAAGCTTGGCATTTATGGAGATATGTTAGCACCGCCAAGGAGCTTTAAATCCCAGCAAGTTCAAGTTTGGCTCTCATGGCCTCTTAAGAATCTCAGATCCAGTGTGTGAAAGACGAGCACTTTCCATATGTGATCCATCTGGGCAAAGCAGACATATGCTATAGTTTAAATCCTGTCATTTATGGCTACCCAGAATGCATGGGGCCCTGCCTGGAAGTCTGAGGTCTGAGAGGTTTGCAACGAACACGTGGATATTGGTGATGTGAGCCAGGCGACCCTCCAAACTCAGGGCTCTGGGTTTTCCATCCAGTCAGGGCACGGCCAAATTCCGCTTGTCATCCTATGACCCATATTGCAAGAGTCTGGGGACAACTCAGCCAAAAGTGTCTTGCAGGTCCAGGTGAACGAAACAAGTAATTTTGACGGAAGTGAGAATCTAGCTGGAACCAGACATGATCACAGCCAAGACAATGGTGCATGCACATGTGGCCAAAAATGAACCCCAAAAGAACATTCCCCCAATTTTTCTGCTAATATCTCTGCCCTAGGAGGACCTTGAGGCTTATCACCAAGGCATGTGTTGTATACCTAAGAACACTTCAGAATGGCACCTCCATGAGCTTGTTCTCGCCCTCACATACAATGTCAAAAACTTACCCTGATGTAGCTTCAGTCCCCTAAGAAAGAAGATGACCACCTCCACCTGCTCGGGGAACCACAGCTTAGGGGATGATTCCTTGTGATCTCCTTATGTGGTGCAAACATACTAGTTTGTGGGACCATGACTTCTAGTGGAGGCTTTGGTTTCTACTCACTCCGAAGTAGACTCTGCCCTTGGGTGAGGAAAAACCCAGACTTCCAGGAACTGGTTTCCAGCAGGGACAAAGCCAAATGTATTGGTGGAAGCTGAGGATCCTCCTGTGCCTGGGACATGACACTTGCCACCTGAGAGATACTGGGTGTCAAGCACGAAGGACCTGCCCAGTGAACAGACAAGGGAGTGAGGCAAAGAATGGCAGCATCGTGACAGGTGCTAGGGTGGCTCAGAGTGTTGTGCACATGGCCTGGTGGCAATTAAGGATGAAGGTATGAAAGACCTGCATCTTGGGAGAAAAGGCAGGGATCGGAGGATGATGCAAGCAGAGAGAATGGCGCCTGCTACTAAATGGATGGTCCCTTCTGTGGGGATGCTATAGATGATGCTGTGTTGTGGCGTGTTTTCTCAGTGTGTTATTTTGTTTGTTTGAAATGGTCTGAGGTAATCTCTGCAATCGGAGATCCAATTTTCTCTAGAAAGTCGAAGGAGAGAGATCTGATGTTACATGACCCCATTAGAATCCCTCCCTGGGTGTCCCATGGAACTCTGAGCATGAGAAGTGGCCTGTGGGCTGAGCTGGCACTGTTGGAGATAGTTGTCTTGCTGCAGGATGGGTCCATCTGTAGCAGAGCTGTTGGCTGGGGAGACACACAGAAGGAGCCCAGAGCCTGATTCCAGAACCATCTTTTATATGTTGAATTATGTGAACCCTTGAGCCATATTCCCCTCCATCCCCTCAACCCTCCCCCACTCCCACCCCCTACAGCCACCTTTTTTTTGTGCCTGCTCTGATTTGATCTGTGTCCAAGCCCAAGTCTGTGGCTTGGGCTGCTATGGGGGAGGAAGGGACAAGGTTTGCACTTGGTCTACGATTGCAGTGCAGGCTTACCCCAATGACATGCTGGATGAGGTTCCAGAACAGTTAAGTCAAGACACTGATAATGCAATAAAGTGGAAACACAACGTTCTTTGTTTCCCCAGGGCTTAGAAACATGATGTTTACATTATATTGTGGTCTAAAAGTGTCCAATAAAAAGAACTTGAACATGCATCTCATCCATCTTCCTCCACACTTCAACCTTCCCCACACCAATCAGAAGCCCACATGAATATGCATTCCTCTCAACTACGGATGAATATTTAAGAAATTATTGTCATATGACAACTAATATGAATATTAATAAAATTATCACAAAGACTCCAATACCACTATTATGTCTCCAAAATATATACCTGAATTTTCTTGTGAAGAAGTGCAACTTGAGCT